GCTTCTTGTGAGGAATATGGAACAGCCAAGGAAGTATGCCCAGCAGCTTCCTTCAGTCCTCGTAGACACAGAGCTGTGCGTGTGATCTTTCAAAATAGCAGAACTGCGTCAAAAAGTAGCTGGCTCCACCCTCAGTTCCTCTCATAAGGGAAACAGCTCACAGGATCCTAAATCAAGCTATGCCCAAATTGGCTCTAGACTACACCAGGGACCTTCTCTGGAACAAAGCTTAGAGGCAATCATTTCCTGAACAGAATTTAGTACAGGGATGAATGTGGTCCTGCCTCTGCCTCCCTAGAGGTCTCTCCCTGCTCCCAACCTCCCCAGAGCTGGCACCAACCTACCTGCATAGCGCAGAGGAGCATCTTTGTCCAGTGCAAACAGCGGTGGGTTGAGTAGGACTGTGTTGTCATTCTCCATGACGATGCCCTGATATTCAGCTTCAATCCAGGGTTTGTGCTTATTTGCTGAGGTGAGTTTGGGTAAGGGATGGAGCATGGGAAAGTATTAGCCAAAATGACAGACACAGTAGAAAAGGAGCAGAATACCATGCAGTGACATTTAGCAACCACCCCTTCCCATCTTCATCTCTAGAATAAAGGCTAAGAGAGACTAGGAAGAGGAAGCTAATTTTCTTCAGCTCTATTCTACCTCTCCTAGAAGATGCCATCAGAAACAACGTGCTTTATCTCACCTCCTCAATACTCTCTTGTTAGAAGCATTCATAGGGGCATTTGTGTACCCTGGAAAGCTGGGATAGTTAAAAAAAAAAAAAATGAAATCAAGAGGCACAAGTATTCTGATTCTGGAGAGATATTCCAAATGCTAAATACTTTAGAGCACTGAAGTCTTAAGTAAAAGATCTAGGAGACATCTTCCGTTGGGGTGCCCCCAGAAGAAAAGAGCTGCATTCATCCATTGTCATTCATGCCTTCCATCCTCTGTACTAAGGGCAAGGATTCACACATGTCCCCAGGTACACATCCAGTCAGCTACCCCACATGTAAATCAAATAGCTGAGCCCCTTCCTTCCTTCTTTCCCACTCTATGGTGGGCACCATATTCCTTTGGCCCCTCCTTGCTGTTCCATTGGCTGTAGCCCAGCCAGGCTTGGCATGGAGGCAGCAGCCAGCCGGAGGCTCTGAAAAATGTCACAGGCCCAGAAATAGCAAATTAATCTTTATCACATAGGCTCCAGGGCAGGGAAAAGGAGAAATAAAGGAGGGAAAGGGCGGAGGAGAGAGAAGTAAAATCGTTATAAATTAAGAACCCCTCCCCCATGCCCACTCTCTGCCAAATGGGCCTCAGAGATTACATTACATGTCCTAGTTACAAACCCCATTCCCAGATAATCCCCCACTCTCCCACCCCCTGGAGAACAAGATTTATTACAACCAAGCGACACTCTGCACACAGCATGGCTCTGAGCTGGTAGAGAGCAGGATACAAAGCCTCTCCCTTCAAGGGCACTACTTCCAATATGTGAATTCATCCTCTGCAGCGCACACCGCCATGGCGTTTGTATTGACTCAAGAGGAACAACATCCCCTATGATCAATAGTCTCTTCTGTACTTCAGCACCTAAGGGTGCTGCTGGAGCTGGGTTGGGCCAGTGGTGGGACTGCAATCTGAGCAGGGATGCACCAGTAGGATGAGCAGGCAGACCCAGCCTGGCAGAGCAGCCAGGTGTGGGCTGGCATTTTTCTTCTACCGTATCGATTAAGATTATAAAGCACTGCATAGGAAATCCCGAAAAATATCCACCCTGCTCTGTATGCAGGAAGAATCTTTCCTGTGTACAAGCACCCATGTTTTGCCCAATCCCTCCTTTGCCCTCACCAGATCCTACTGTGTCAGTCCCAATCCAAGCACCTCTCCGATGAGGTGGGAACCCATAACGACCAATGCCAAATACGCCCTGTTGCTGGGGTAACAAGCTGGTGGGTGAGACAGAAATCTTTTGCTGCATCCACATGCACCTTGGGAATCACCAATTTGATTTCTTAGGAAATCATCTCTTGGGGATTAGAAATACATTTGGGGGATATTTTTAGGATGCAGACTCATGCCATTTTCAAGAAAGCTCCTATAAAGCTAAAATCAGTTGCCAAGGATGTGTACGTGTTTCAGAGTGTAAATTCACAGAGAGAAAATACAGAGCATGAGGGGCCCGGCTTCGCAACTGATCCCACCGGCACCAGAGCAGCACAAAATAAATGCCTCTGCTGGTACCAGCACACGCAGAGCATCGTGCTGCACCCTGTTTGCAGCCTCCATCCCTCCCCAAGCACAGAAAGCAAACCAAGCTGCCGCATTCCCGATGGCCCCTGCATCCCTTGCATGCTTCATGTTCTCCTACCCCAATGGATGATCTTCTCCCAGATTCCCTGAAAATGAATTTCTTGTGCCTGTGTCTGCAGCCCCAGATCTAGTAACCTACATCCTTCTCCATCACTCTGTGTTCTGAGAACATCTGCATCCAGTGTGTTAGAGCTGCAGCATTCGGCATTGGTCTTTCTGTTTTATTTTATTTTTCCCTATTTAGCACATAAAGCACTGTTTTATGTAAGCCACCTGCACAGATAACACATAATTGCTGCAACATTTCCCACTGACATGTTCTAGACGCATGGGCTGGTATGAGAAGATGGAGATGGGGGATGTGCTTCAGGGAACAGAGGGGTCTATGGAGGTGCAGCACACTCCCTCTCGGCATGCTACGGGAGAAAAGCTAAACGGGCACAAAGCGAGACAAATGGGTGGAGAGGGGGCAAATGAGAAGCGGATGTTAAAACCAAAGATTGTTGAAAAGGGAGGCGGTAGGAGATGGAGCCAGCACATGGAAGGATGATGAGGACGCTGAGAGGGCAGAGCGAGCCCCAGAGCCTGGGCACCCGGAGCCCCCCGCCGGGACTGCGGGTGACAGCGGCGGCAGCGCGACCGCTCCGAGCGCGGCGCTCCGTGCCCGCGGCGCTCCGCTCACCTTTGTTGGGGCAGCCGCCGGGCAGCGCGGCCCAGAGGCACAACAGCGGCAGCAGGACGGCTGCGCGGGGCCGACGGCCTCCCATAGCGGCGGCGGCGGCAGCGGCGGCGGCGACGGCGGCTGCTGCTCCCGGCCCGCCCGGCGGTGCTGGACAGCGGCGGGCCCGGCCCGGCCCACGCCCTCGCTCGGCTGCTCGGCGGCTCCGCTGCGGCCCCGCCCCGCCACTGCAGCATGACGTCACGGACCGAGGCTGCGGGAGCGGCGGCCCCGGCTGCAGGCGGGAGGCGGGCGGAGGGCGGGGGTGCTTTACAGCTCTCCCGCCCCGAGGCGGAGGTGCTGGAGTAGGGACAGGCCCGTCGGGACTCTTACTTCGGTGAGGAGCCCGCAGTTCCTCGTGCCCGCCCCGCTCCGCTCCGCGCCGGGCAGTTCTTCCCCGCTTTCCGCAGCCAGCAGCCAGGTGCTCCGTCTCGGGATGCTGCCCAACCTCAGCGGCTATTACCGCTTCGTCTCCCAGGAGAATATGGACAATTACCTGCGCGCGTTGGGTAACTCCTCCCTCCTCCTTCCCTCTTACTCCTTTTTCTCTCCAAAAATTGCCAGCCCGTGGGACCTCGGAAGGGAAGGAAGGGGGCTTGAGCAACCAACCCTTCTGTCATTCCATCTGAGACTATCACTTTCGGTGGGAGGGGGAGAGAAGGCATCCCTGGAGCTCGAGCCCCTTGCCCAAAGAGTGGAGGAGCCTGGGTAGCCCACACACTTCCCCTCCATTTCATCTTCCAGATATCAACGTGGTCCTGCGCAAGGTGGTCTGCCTGCTGAAGCCCGACAAAGAGATCATCCACACAGGAGACCACATGGTTATCCGCACGATCACCTCCCTGCGGGACTACGTCATGGATTTTGACCTGGGGGTCCAGTTTGAGGAAGACCTGGGACCCGTAGATGGACGCAAATGCCAGGTGAGGATCCCCAACAGGTCTAGATAATGGCAACTGGGATGAACAAGGACTTTGGGGATTGCCTGGCTTTTAGTCCACAAGCAAGGTGAGAGCCCAGCCCAGACCTGGCCCAGCAAATTGCTCCCAGCGAGGGGGCAAGCAACACACAGCCAGACCTGGTGCTTTGGGATCCAGAAAGATACTAAATCTTGCCACAGAGAGCATCAGTCCCAAGGAGCCACCCAAGAGACGCTAACCATATCAGGGACCACATTTGAAAATGTGATGGGAGCACTCAGTGTCATCACTGGAAATCTGTATTGCTTTTGTTGTGTCCACGACTTCCCCTCTGCTTTTTTTTCAGACGACTGTTTTCTGGGAGGGCGACCAGTTGGTATGCGAGCAGATAGGGGAGAAGAGGAACCGCGGCTGGCGGCACTGGCTAGAGGGAGACCGGCTGCACCTGGTGAGGAAGGGCCCATGCAGCTTGCGTGGTGGGTGGGGGGGGACATAGTGCAAGCTCTGTGAGCTGTTGGTGAACCTGGGCAGCCTCCTTCCTGCTCCTCTCAGGCTTCGCCCTGGCTCCTCAGGGGCAATGGCCACTTCTTATAAACATCCGCTGCCCGGGTTCAAAAGTTAAAGTTATGCAGCAGCAGCGGTGGCCCTTCCCACCCTCAGGATGACCTGCCAGGGCTCAGCAGGAGCACACGGGGCTGCAGTCTGAATTCCTCTTTCTCCTCCCTTCCCCAGCGCATGACGGCTGAAGATGAGGTCTGCGTTCAGGTCTTCCAGAAAGTGAAGTGACCGCTGGCTGCTGGGACAGGGGTCGGGGCCGCACTCTCCAGTGTGAACTGTTCCAGATTAAAGAAGCAAACTCGATGGCTGCGAGCCAGGCGCCCTGTAGCAGCGTGTTTTTTCTGCCTCGCTAAGCGGCAGGATGGAAGAAGGCCTCCCGGCGCGCCGTGGTCAGGTCACGGCGGGCCGGGCCCCAACAAGGGAGAGGCGGGGAGAGGGGACGGCTGGAGCGCGTCCCGGCAGAACAGGGTGGGCACAGGCAGGGAGGAAGAAGGGCCGCCGAGTGCACGGCGGCTCCTTTCAGAATAAGAGCTGGGTGGGAGGGAGTGAGGCGAGGCGGAGGCCATCCAGCCACCCCACACTGTGGCGAGTTGCCCGAGTTGCTCGTAGGCGGCCACAGGCGCTTGCCGCTGCTGAGCCTGGACAGGCCCCTCGCTGGTCTATGCGGTTCTCTTCTGCTTCCCCGCACTGTGGCAGCGCAGTCCCTCGGCTACCTCTGGAAAGCAGAATTTGGAGCCCTGAGTCAGCAAGGACAACTGAGGCTGCCTCTTCTGAAAACACCAGTGCAAGCTCCCATCATATTTTTTTCAGGATCCTGAAAGCTTCAAGCTGTAGCACAGAAATGATTCTTCGATGTCAAAGATTTCTGTGTGAAATCCAAGGGTTGGGGCAAGGTAGGAAGCCCCTTGTAGTTCATGTTCACTGCACTCCTGGGAAAGCCCAGAGAAGGCAGCTCTGTCTTTCCTCCAGGTGTAAGAAACCACTGTCTGTAGCCCCTGCACACCACCTGTCTTTACTATCCTCCTTTTACTGTCATAGCTCCCCTGGTTCACAGCTCCCCTTTACAGTCAAAGACCAAGGGATAGAACCTAGGGACATGAGGTCCCCTGAAAGGATGGACAAAGACTTTAGTGAGGGCACCGGATGGGATGTGCAAAAGGCCCTTGTGGTTTATTTCTGAAGAAAACTTGTGTCTGCCCCCGAACTAAAGATTGAAGAGCACTGTACTCAGGAATGTGTAGCTACTGACAGTCAAAGAGCCAAGATTTTGAAAACAGGCTCATTTCAAGCTGATTAAATGCATTTTTTTTCCCTCCAGCAGCTCATCTAAAAAGTATTTTCCAAAGAGCTTCTTCTCAGAGAAACGAAAACATGACTGTGATAAAAAAGGACCACTTAAATACATGCAAGTATGCAGTATGCAAGGCGTGAGGTAGCTGCAGCTGTATCTGTAAGTGTTGACATCTGGCTCTTCAAGATTGTCTCAGGACATTACAGGCTGCAACATCCTGTCAGTATCCACAGTGCAAGGGTGCTACTGACTGGGATGTATCCAAACACATTGGACAATCATAACCAAATCATCCAAGATATATCAGTTGTCTGTTCCATGTAGACTTCTATGAACTGTTATTCCATTTATCATCAGTAGCCCCTACATTACCTCTGTTGTATTGTGAGGTTGTAAGATCCAGGGCTTCAACTGACAGCAGCTGAGGAGCTGATTGAATTGTTGCCCTCATCCCACAGTCTGAACAAGGAGCCTTTTTGAGAGTTGATTCTGATCCCCAACACTGAGCTTGCTTCATCATGTCCAGACTGGTATCCTCCAGACTGTGTGATCACCTTATTTCAGGCTCCACACCAGAAGCTGGTGCACTTTCTTAACTTTGCCTTTCTGACCTGTGTTCTGGTTTGGCAGTAGACAGCTATTGCCTTCAAGTGGTTAACCGTGACAGACTCTACACTGGCATGCCAGCCATCCACATAATAGCCAAAGAATTCCCTGAGGTGATACGGTTTGCTTCTGATTGCTTGACATCCATTCTATACAGATGGCAATATCTTGAACTAGGGAAGCATCCAGTTGTGCCAAAACACCAATAGGAGTCAGACCTGCTTGGTGTGATCCACAGCCATAGTAATCATAAGGGATAGTATTCCAGACTATTACAGTATTTCAGATACTATCTACTATTACTAACAATTTGTCAGTTGCTGCTCACCATTTCATACTGCAGGCAAGAACCGTTCCTAGAGTCGTGAACCTCTTTTTATGTAGGTCACCTTCTCCACATAAACCAGAGCTGTAGGAGTGGCATGATTTGTCTGAAAAAATGATAAGCCATTTAATAGTGCCTGTTAGAAGTTGTGTGAAGCCCAAGCCCTTAGACTAGTGGCAGTGTTATTTATTGCCCAAAAGGCAATAAATGATCAAGTAGAGATATCTGAGTGTTGCTTAGTCAAAAAGAGTGTTTGAAGGTAAGGTGCCCAGGGAAAACAGCTCGGCGTTAAAGTGCCACCAATTGATTTTTAAACAACTCTAGTTTTAGCAGCTATTTGGGGTTTATTAATACTTGCAAGATAAATCACAAGGTTAGATTGTATGATTCTAAGTAATAGTTAATAAGCACTTAACCATTAGCCAATTTGACACAATCAAATGCATTGGCTTACTTAAAGGTTTGAGAATGGCAAGGTTCATTTGAAACTTACAGATAGGGTATTGGAGAGGAGATTTCTAAACTCATTTGCATGCTTAGGGACCTTCTCTCCTTCAGTGAAATACTCATCTTTCCCTTTTGTTGGCTCTCAGCAGATGATCTGTCCCAAAAAGGGCTCCACTTCCTTGAGATCTATCAGCACCAGCACTACAGGTGAACCTGAATCTGTGGCCCTGGCAGGATGATTATACTGTAAGAGAGGTGGAGTTGCTACACGAGGCCTAACAGAGGAGTTCCTCTGTCTTTCTTGCTTCAGGTTTGACAATGAAGTATCCAGATCAATTTGTTTTCCATGTGTGAGAGGGTCTGCACATCAGAGAATATTTCATGCATGCTTCTAGGCTGCTGACCAACCTTCTTTCCAATGACCTCCGGAAACACACTGTATTCAAAGCAGCAGAGAAATTACACAGAACATCTGAAGGGGGGCACCAACCAGCAGGAGCACTGGAGCAGAACAGAGGGAAATCAAGTAGGTCTATGGGACATGCATTGAAAGTGGGCTGCTCCAGATAGACACACCTCAAGTGTTCACCTTTAATTTAGCAGCTGGAGTACTCTCCTGGTACCACAGATGGTGTTAGCAGGGAAAAAAAAACACAAAACAAAACAAAACAAATCCATGTGGAAGATTTATCTTAAAAGTGCCTTTGGGAACTCCTAATAGTGCTGCTTGCTTGTAATATTCCTGCAAATGACACATTGAAATGATCAGCTTCCTTACAGACGATCCTAAATTACATCTGCCTGTCCATTCTTTGTAAGTAAACACTACCAATGACTTGCTGGTAACAGGTCTCTCAGCAGTTTCTGGTGCTTCCCAGCTTCTTTCCACATGTGGTGTCTTTAAGTAAAAGCTTCCCTTTGGGTGGGACAGTAAGTCAGAATAACCCACTGTGCCACAGTGTAAAAGTGAGGGTGCCCAAATTCATACACTAAAAAGCACCAGTGTAATATTCCCTCCTTAATCTTAATTCAGATGTTTGAGGTCATACACTGTTATTATGGAGGCACTAACTGCACATTTACGTGATCTTTTCCAGATAACTCAAAGGCGTTTTGATGAACAGTTTTGCTAGTCTCCAGTGCACTTTCATAAATATCCTGGAAAAGCTTTCTTCATTCGTTTATAAACACCATTTTCCTCCTCATTCAACATGTTTTTGTAGATGATGTGGATTATTTTGTGGATTGTTTTCTGTGATTTCAGTGCAAGAAACTCATTAACTTCTCTGCATCTGTAATTCAAAGGGAAAACACTAGAATGGTGTTACACCACAATCTGAAAGCTGTAAAATTCAGAAGTTTGTGAAGTTCAGAACAAGGTTTGGGCACCGTGTTGATGAAAGCCTGAAATGTGTTTGCAAGTTGCTATCTTTTCTCATTTCTCCATTAAATAACATTAAATAACAAAGGCTTTATCCATCTTGTTTCTCTTAAAAATGCTTCAGACGATTGCGGGACACGCAGCAAATAAGAGCCTTTGAAAAAACACTTGTTCTCTGAGTGCTTAGAATTCTATAGGCCTGTTCAGTTTTATTAATGTCTGCTTAACTCAAAAGGCTGAGGTTTCTTCCTTTCCCTGAAGAAGCTCCCCGTTCTCATCCCAATAAATAGGTATATAAATAAGTGGTCGGAGGCGTTCTTCAGCACATCAGCATGATGAGAGGTGAGGTTTTTTGATGGCTTTATTTTTTAAAGCTCATATTTAAAAATTTGTTAAGACTGAAATTTCTGTGCTTCTCTCTATACCAAAAAACTGCCCAAGAAGGAGTAGGAGAAAGCGTAGGAGCTGCTGGAATGCAGTTAAAATCATCACCAAAGATCTCCGGTAATCATTTTTCTTCCTCTTCGCCCTCTTCCGTAGAAATGAAAGTCTGCTTTTGCCCGGCTGGGATTTAAGAGCCCCACAGAAGCCTCGCTGGCCCCAAGACCGGTGTCCTCGCGGAGCTGCAGCAGCTGGGCGGCAGAGGGCAGCAGGCGCCGCGCTGGAAGCGCCCGGTCCCGTCCCGGCTGCCCGCAGCCCGGCTCCGTCTCCCCACCCACTGCTCTCACCACCCCCCGTGCGCAGCCGGGGACCGTGCAGCTCGAGCTCGGACAGAACGGGAGGAGAGAGAATTGCGGGCACCGCGATCGAACGCATGGAGGTGTGAGTGTGGGGAACGGGAACGCAGCACCTTTCCGGGAGGGTGGAGGGCCATTAGGCTCTTTCAGGGAGGTGGACGGGTCAAAAAGGCTTACCTCGTGCTTGCTGTCCCTTCGTTAAAACTTTGCTAGGGCTAAGGAAGAAGGATCAACCTGGTGGATCTTTTCGTGAGATCTGGGCAATGGGAGTGTTTTGGAGGAGTATGGACAGTCCCGTTTCCCAGAGAGGGAGAGGGAAAAGAAAGGGAAACAAATGAGAGCCAGTTTTTTCAGGAGGATGAGCTGGGCATAACTGAGCTGAGGGTTACGCTGGAGGCACTGCCAGATTGCTCGTTAATAAACTGAGATTGAGATCTTCAGATACTGACCACATGAATCAGGCAAAACCCTAAACTAGCAATGATCAGAAATGATCCACTGGCCCAGAGCAAAGGGGAACCACGCTTACAGTGCTTCTGAGGAGCCTAGCCCATCGTTGCTGGGAACAAACAGCCGCTGCTTGGGGAATTCACCCGTGTTCCCTCAAAGTGCTTGCCAGCTGAACAAATCTCTTTGACTGGATCATTGCACCTTGCTGGAGTTGGTCAGTACTGACATTTTCATTTCCACTGTTCTAATTGTTCCTGTGTGATCCTAGCCGAAAGCTGGACCTGCAGCTAGGCCTCTCATGTTTGCATTTTGCTAGACTGCATGCAATCCACCTGTGAATCTCTCCCCTGATTTTGGATGACTGAGTTTTGTGCAATGTCATAATTTGCTTGCCATGTTCACAGGCACACTCCTTTTCTCCTGTGGGCCATCCTCTTTTCTGGAGTGATCAGTTCCAGTCCAGTCCCAAGAAAGTTATTTGGGGAGATCAGATCCCCAAATTATCCTAAACCATACCCCAACAATAACATCAGCAGTTGGGATATCATTGTTCCCAAAGGCTATGTGGTGAAGCTGACCTTCAGATATTTTGACCTGGAGCCATCAGAGACCTGTTTCTATGATTATGTTAAGGTATGTGGATAGATACCTGGGGTAATTGGTGGCTGGAAATGGGAATCTAGAGGCATGCTGTTCATTCACGAGGCTTCCTCTCACACTCCCCAAAGAGGATTGGGAAGGAGCTAAAGACAGTAACAGGTGAAGCAGATACTGGCATTTTGTGGCTGGATATTAGTGGTGCATAACTGACTGTTGTGAGGCTACAGTGATCTCCCCTTCACCTTGACAGATCAGAGCAGACAAGAAGAGCTTGGGACGATATTGTGGGCAGCTTGGGTCAACCACAGGCAATCACCCAGGAAGAAAGGAGTTTGTATCTAAGGGAAACAGGATGCATCTTTCATTTCACTCTGATTTCTCCAATGAAGACAATGGCACGGTCGTTCCCTACAGGGGCTTCCTGGCCTATTATAAAGCTGTGGGTGAGTAGGAGGCAATCTATCATGCAGAAAGAAGCTTTGCGGGTCCAACTAATTTTCCTCCTTAACAGGCACATCAAGAGATTCCTTGAGCAAAGATGCTCATCTCTGTATACTTTCAGTGTACAGCAGATAGGTTTGACACTTTCCTCCTCTTAACCCAGCATCTCTTACCTCTTCAGATCTTGATGAATGTGATCCTAGCAATGCTGCTGAGGATGAGGAGGGGCTTCGGTGCCAGCAAATCTGTCACAACTATGTGGGTGGCTACTTCTGCTCTTGCCGACCTGGCTATCAGCTCCAAAGTGACTACCACTCCTGCAAAGGTAAACTGAAAGTCTGAAAGATCAGACTGGAACATGGAGGATTCCAGAACAGGAGCCCTTCAGCCGGGAAGAGTGGGAGAAGTGGTTTAGGAAGCAGTTAATGGGACCGCAGCTGGCACAGCCTCATCTTGTGATCTTTGCTTTCTTCCTCTACACCAGTGGAGTGCAGCAGTGAGTTGTTCACAGAGGCATCTGGGTACCTGAGCAGCCCAGAGTACCCCCACGCCTATCCTGAGGACCTCCAGTGTAACTACAGCATCCGTCTGGAAAAAGGCCTGTCTATCATCCTAAAGTTCTTGGAACCTTTTGAGATTGATGACCACCAGCAAGTCCACTGTCCCTATGATCAGCTCAAGGTACTGGAAATTAGCAGACTCTCCTTCAAGCCCCGCTGCCAGGGCTGAAAAGGAATTCTGCAGATACTACTAGCATGAGAAATACAGGATTTGTACAAAAAGAATGCCCCACTATGCAAAACTGAGCTGTTCCCTTGTCCCTCCCTCAGAATCTCTATAAGAATTGTCCTGAGACCAACAGGCTCTGGGTCACACGTTCCTGTGAATGGAGAAAAAAAAAAAAATCATCTTTCTTGAGGTTTTATGTGCTTTAGTCTCAGGATTCAAATTGGTTGATAGCTCTGATTCCCACAATAAAGGAGAAGTAGAGCTTGTATTTAGTCACTCATTTGTTCTGATCTAACAGTGCTGCCATCAGCAAAGATGGGTCAGACAGGCAGCCCACCCATCATTAGGCACTTCGGCAAACTTGGTCTGGATTGAGGTAGGGATAGGGTTACTGAAGAGAAGACATGTATGTTTCTGTCCCTGAGATACTTGATTTTGTCACTAGATCCAAGCACAAGGAAGAGAGATTGGTGAATTCTGTGGCAAGAAGTCACCTGGCAGCATAGAAACCAAAAGCAATGAGGTGGACATACTCTTCTTCACTGATGAATCAGGGTTCAGTCGTGGTTGGAAGATCCACTACACCTCAGAGAGTAAGATATCTCTTCCCCAATGACTACTAGAGCCTATCTACACCATTTGTTAATAACCACCCACTTGATCCCCTTTTCTAACAGGAATACGATGCCCACAGCCTGTCCCACGGGATCAGTTTACCATCATCAGAGACCTGCAACCTGTGTATCGATATCAAGACTATTTCATTGTCAGCTGCCAGACTGGCTATAACTTGGTGGAGGTGAGATCCCTCCCTATCTCCCTTCAGCTATATTCTGTCTTCTCTTCACTCTGTGTCTTTCAACTTTCAGTAAAGTTTTCTTTGTCCATTTCACTCCTGGCAATCTCTTGCTATTTCTGTTTTTCCATGCATCTGCAGGCATTTTTTCCCAGTGTTTTTTCCTAGCCTCCTTTCTTGTACGTTCTTTGTCTCACAAAAAGGCAAGCCCCTGTAGATGAGAAAACAGAGATTCCAGGAAGAACTGGTAAGCAAGTCTCACTTGGAGAGGATGTGAAATCAGACTTGAAGCAGAATATACTACCTGCCTTCATTGCCATCCTGCTGTCAGAACTCTGTACTGTCAGCACCTCAGACTTCTCAAATTTTTATGGTTGCTGGCTGCTTACATTTTGTCTCTTTATGCATAATTTGTAGCCTGCAGCAAACACAAGATGGAAGGAAGGCAGCAAGGGGAGAGCCAGCAACTGGAACACAGTGCTGTGAGGGGAGCAGTAGAAAAACAGGCAGTTAGGATAATATTTTTGTGTGAGGGAAGGGAATTTGTGTGTTGTGTGAAGGGAATGTGGGGCTCCATACAGCCAGCAATGTTTTGGGGTTTTTTTTCTGATTTCTTTTGTGCAGGGCAACCGGAAGCTGCTGTCCTTCACTGCTGTCTGCCAAGCTGACGGGACATGGCATCAACCCATGCCCCACTGTGAAAGTGAGTGAGCTGAGTGCTGGAATTTGGTCCCTTGCTCTAAGTTATTCCCTCGAGTACGCAGGGAGTTCAGTGTCTGTGACTCAGGTTGTCCTTGGCCGTAGACTTATAGGTATGCTGACTGGAAGGACTATAAAGGCCACTTGGTCCACTGTTAACGCTCATTATACCTTTTGTTTCCAAAAAGCTGAATGTTTTCCCTCCCCTACAGAAATGCATAAAGTATCACTAAGAAGTCAACACAACGTTGTAACATCTAAAAGCAGTTTGGGATCCATTTTGGAGCAACCACTCTCTACCCACTGTACTAATTGGTCCTCACCGTCCTTCACAACGTGGCCACAGTCCAAATCAAGCCTTAAACTACAGGTATTAAGGCTGTCTTTTACTCATTTCTATTTTCTTCTCTTTCTTTTTTTGTAGTTGTGAACTGTGGCAGCCCTGCAGAACTGACCAATGGAATATTCAGTTACGTTAACAAACCTGCAAACAATACCTACCAGTCAGTGATCACATACCAGTGCAATGAACCATATTATCACATTGTCACCAGAGGAGGAGGTGGTGAGTTCTGATCACACACAGATATTAAAATACTGAAATAAAAAGCCCACTACAATCTCCAGTTAGAATTTTCCTAATCTCTACTCCCTAGTCTTGAGGTTCTTATGAAGGCTTTCCAACCTTTCCTTGGCTCTGCAGCATAGGTCCTGAGGTTTGTTGCAACCTTGCTTCATTCCCAGAGTCCTTCATATCCCTCCTCCAGGCTCTCCTTAACTTTAATTGAAGGTTTAATTTGTGATTCTCATGATAGTCATCTGCGGTCATGACTTTTTTCCTCTGGTGGATTTCATTCTTTCACCGAAATTTGAGGCACAATGCACCAATATTCTGCAACCCAATCACAGAAATCCACATTGCTCCAGATGCCAATAAATAAACTCAGAATCCACTCTGCTGTAATACTGTTTACTCTCTTTGGAATACTGTCCAACAGCAGAGACATCTAGAGGCTAAATAACAGACAGGCAGAAAAATCTATGTTGCAAGTCAGAAAAATTAAGGGAACATTCCAAACCATTCACATGCCTTCTTTTTGCACCTCAAACGTGATTTGACGACATAGGAGTTTTGGTGACAAGAAAGACATAAAAAGTCCATGTAAAGTTCTAATGGGAAAGTGTC